CAACAAGTACAGTGGAGTATTCCCAAGTAGCTAAATTCAAGACTTTGTAATCTATGTAGGTGGAGAGAGAGAGATTGATTACTGAATCCTGGTTCATTGAGTCTAAATCCAACACATGTAACAGAAATGACTCAATCCAAATACCAGAAATATGGAAGATATTATTACCAATGGATAAGAAATAATGTTAAAATTTATTTCATTTTACATTATAACACTCTAACTCTAGCAGAGATATGGAAGACATTATTACCACCAGTCAGTCAAATCAGAGGAGGATAATAAATAATCTCAAAATTCTATTTCAATTCAAACACACCACAACATTCTAACAAGTTACTTATTTTGACTGTACAAAACACTCGTCTTATTTCCCATCTAATTGTAATTGATCAATAACACTGGTATTATTATTTCTGAATGTACATTATCCCATAATGATTTTTTATTCAAATGTCTAATTATGCATTGCACTCATGTATATAAATGAAGTAAAATGCTGTGAGAGTAGTGACTTGATATGATTATGAGTGGCAATAATTTGTGCTCAAAAGGTGATCGCATCAGTAAATATTGCTGTACAACACTGTGTGATCCATAATGGAGTTATACTCTACCACCACAGTGCCCAAGTTTTATACTTATCAATTACATCAGCAATCCCTGCGAACAGTCCAAGATCAGAAGGACTTTAATTCATTAGAAGAAAATCGCATTTTCAAGATAACACATTATCAATATCTTCACACAACCACAAAGGGAAGCAATAGAATTAGGTAATAGACAGGAACAGAGGGAAATTAATGAGGATGAAGTTAACATATGATATCTAAAGGTGGGAACATTGATATACACTCTAGAAGAAAAGGAGACGATACTTTCAAAGTTAATTGAAGTAAATCCAAATAGGCATTTATATATGTTGTAATTAGATCATTCATAAGGGATTATGCAAATAATATTTTCCTTATAGTACCTTAAGTTACATTCTATTGTATCCATTATTGAATGCAGGTCTTTAAGCTTTAAGATATCAAGTTTCAGTGGGGTTTGTGTTGTTTCTACGGAGTATGGCTCTTGGTCTTACTTTCAGTCTTGCCTCTTTCTTAATCTGCTACTAGCTAGAAAAGGTTCATAAGTACATCGGCTTGGAATCGAACCATAACAACGTTAACGTACCAATAAATAAGTGTACCTCTTTTTGTCAACAGACTACTGATGGTAGTATTGGAACATGAGAAATATTTTACTACTATCTACTTTAATAGCTGAAACGTTCATGTCCCTGAATTTTATTTAGAAGTTATTTTATGAAAACTGATTAATACTGTCGTGTAAAGTGCATTATTCACATAATATATTTTAAAATAAAAACATTTTAATTGCTTTTCATAGGCGAGTACAGCAAGTAGTGCGGTATACATTTGGACTGAATGAAATTAAATGTCCAATAGAATTATTCTGGAACTATGGTGGTGTTTGTTTTAACATACATGTGTATCCTATTAAATGATGTGTCGGATACAACGTGGTCATTATCTACGATATGTTGCAGTCTGGATGAATTAACACCTCTACATTCTCTTTCTCTCAGCCAAACTGGGAGATACTCTCGAACGCGGCGGTATGGGTTTCGCGATAAACATTCTGTGTACCTAACTCCGCAAAAGCAGGTGCAATTAGACAATCGAGGTAACATTTCCTTGATGGCTAGAATACCTCATTCGTCAAGTGGCAGCAAAGAACGTTTTTCCCAGTGGTCTGTCCAGGTAATTTTAAGTATTTCACTCGCAATGTCATCCCTAAATTCTAAGTTTAGATGCAACACTATTTTGGCTACCTTATCAATCTATGTTTTTCTCCCTCTAACTTTACCCTTGGCCTCTACGAAGCGTAGTGGTTATCATAATAAGTGTAAAGGCAGTAGAAATATAAAAAATTCATGTTAGATCCTGAGAGCTGATGTCAGTTAGAGGACCATTAAAAGACAAAGAGTACTGCACAGCCGTTTCATCCCAACTCGGAACCCTTCATCAGTAAAGTCATATGACAGAATCGGAGATAACAAGGCGAGTCTGTTGATCGCTTATTCACTAAGATGAAGCTCAGTGGTGCATGAATTTCAATTGCCAGTCTCCAACTCTCCTCTAAGAAAGAAGTGTTCATCAAGCTACTCTATATAAAGGTATCATAGCAGCTTGATAACTAGACCAAGATTGAAGGCTTCTATTGAAAAGACTTTTTATGCAGTTAATATCTTAATAATAAAGAATGTGAAGCAAATATATCCATCTAGGCCCTTTGAACATGGGAATGTATGTGTGGAAGGACTCATTGATCTCTGCAAGTAAAAGCTTCAAAGCATATTCCTAAATGCCTCCAGAAGCAAATAGAAAATTCAGAGCCCATTAATGGTGAGAACAGAAGACCTAGCTCCTCTATTGTGAAACATATTATACAGACAGGACATAAAATTGACGTCAACACATCTTTCAAACCTATATATAAAACGTGTCCGGGGCGTCTCCTAAAGTTTGTGGAAGCCATAACTGGCAATTAGAAAATTTAAACCACCATTATGCGTTCAAGGCAACTATTCGTCATCACACTAAACCTCCCTTGGTAAACTTTGTTTTGATATCAGCCAGGACAGAGGTGTAATATTACCTCGCTTCTTCGGTTTAGTAATCTTCATTGTGTTTTTTTGCCCTTGAGCATGTCCATTTAACTTGAGTTAAGTCTATTTTCTCACCTCTTAACTCTTTATTAATTTTATATATATTCCTATGAAAAATCCGTGTGTGTGATCAGACTGTTCGAAATGCGTGTTGTGCGAATACATTACACAGGATTCAGACAAATTACGTCTTCTTATTGCTTTGTCTAAATTCATAAAGGGAACTAAGTATTTAAAAAAAATACTTTTAGCTGTTTCAAATCAATTGTTCTCGTTCACAGGATGATTTATTTCCGTATACAAAAGCTGTCTTTATTTGTTCAGACTCACAGTTTGAAAGATGTTTGGAAATTCGCAATTTCTAAAGTTCGAGGGGTGACATTTCACCATAGATACCTTTGGAAACCGTGTTGTTCAGATCACATTATGTGATCTGCTCGATACTAAAATATGGTAACTAAGACAGTAGGCATATTCACCTATAACATAAAAGATGAGTAGTTGCTCTTTACTCATAAGAACTAGTAATGCTCGCTAACTGGACAGATCAAGGGGATTCAGAAACCGGATAACTCGAACTGTGCAGATTGCAAATTGCTAACCAGTTCACTAATTGTGAATTTTATTTGCGATATGGTCAGTTCCCCCAAGTGGCTAGCAAGAAATCAGGCGGCGTTAGCTGATTCTGTTCTCTGAGCTCAGTTAAATTGAGTGCACAGCTGATCATCTCGACCCCAAGCCAACGAAACAGCCGTCTTGTATTTAGATTACCTCGATCTGGTCAGCAAACACCACTGGTTTATATGAACCGTAGGCCACTACTCATCTCAATCAGTCAGACAATGAGGAAACTTGCATAAAATGGACTCACACAAAAAACTTGGAGGATCCGGATTTCGCTGATGATTTATGTCTGATTTCCCACAAACTGGAAGATATGCAAGTGAAAAGCAACAAGTTGGCGACAGAACGAGAAGCATCACAGATAAGAAGAAGATAGGTGAACATAGAGAAGACAGGGTTGATGAAGATTCCTGGCCAACACCAACAGCAACAGCAACAACAACAGACAACAATCAGCCAGCATAAATGGGAGAAATCTGAAAGAAACAACCTCCTTTACCTACCCACCTACCTTGGGAGCATCATTTCAACTACAGGCGGAACTGACGAGGATATCAAAGCCAGAATCGGAAAAGCAAGGCAAGCTTTCATTACTCTCAAGTCTTTGTGGAGGCCAACAGCACTCAGCACCAAAAATAAGATCCGGGTTTTCGACTCCAGTGTGAAGTCACTGCTACTATACGGAGCAGAGAATTGGCGCGTCTTAAAGAGCATCTCAAACAAACTTCAAACCTTCATTAACAGTTGTCTTCGCTCAATACTCAAGATCAGATGGCCGGCCAGAAGAGATCAGCAACAAAGATCTCTGGCAATGAGCGAACCAAGACAGCAGGAACCGATTGTGCAAGAAATAGGCAGGAAGAAATGGAGATGGATTGACCATACTCTGAGGAAACCATCAAGTGACATCACTAGACAAGCCACCTTTCGAGTGGAACTCGAAAGGGAAGCGGCGAGTTGATCGTCGGTGCAAGGGTGACTTGGAGGAGGTGATGTGAAGAGGAGATGAAAGCATGTGGGCAAACATGGAGCGGAGTGGAAAGGTTGGCAGAAAAGCGAGGCAATGGAGACATGCAGCTGAAGCCCTATGTTCCTCTAGGAATTAAAGGATATAATAATATATTGCCTCATGAAAAAAATCTCCATGTCAACTACTGTTCAAATTATCACAAATACTTTGCTACTCCGAAGATAAATAAACACTCTGACTGTCAAATGATACATTCAATGATATTGCAATTTAGCTGATGGTGATTGGCATGGATGTGAGTTTCGTCCCGTTTGAGACTTGTCAGTTGGATATACCTGAAGTCTTCAGTGAGTAACATTGTCCCAAATGACATTTGAACAGTGTTACCCACTAGACCGATTGGGGCATGAGAGTCAACCTCTTGTACAATGGGTATCAACTGAGATCAACATCGATCACTCAAGATTGCACGTACATCCAACTGATGAGTCCTTAACAAAACGAAATCGGGATCATGGATTCCAGTGAGTAATTTCTACAAGTAAATGAGTTACACCTCACTCTAAACCAGAATACCTTAACTTTAAGACATTTGAAATTTCTGCATATTACTGTATCTCAAAAGCATAAATTCATTCGATGTTGACTGCTTCATGCTTCCATAACAAAAAACCTGCTCAATTATTTACAATCATAAAATCATACTTGAAAAAAAATAGATTCACTTACGTATCTGTTATTTTACAACATGTTTGTTTTCCCAAAGGTCCACAACAATACTTCATATCTTCACTTTGATTTGGTTGAGGACATATAAATTTTCCAGAATTTAATAAAATTAATTTTTTATTTCTCAGTATATTCGCATGACTACTACTAATAATATTCATATCAGTATGATGCATACGATTTTCAATATGTCTCCAGTTTTGTTTTGATTCATTTACACACCAGATAACACGTCCAATTACTGGTGGAATACTTGTCTCTTTCCATAATTCACTGAATCCACTATTCATCTTCAAATTATTATCATTATGGTGATTGTTAGTGTTAGTCTGGTTCCTCTGAATATGAGTAGTGTTCAACACTGTTGAAATCGTGTGTTTATTCGACAAATTATACAATTCTTGAATAGGTATACATTGTACAATAAGTGTTATATATAATTCCACAAAAATTAAAATATAAATTTTATTAATATATAAAAATGAAAGTCGAAATATACTCATGATTATAAAATGTTTCATTTGAAAAATATTCATATTACAAGTATAATTTATATATATATGATGATCTCAAACAAGATTCCCTGGTTTTGTTCCTTAACACATGAGCAAGTTACAGCAGAAGAATTATGTATTTCTGAATGATCTCTTCTACTGAGTTTCGCCAAGCAGCTTTTTTATGCTTTCTCTATGATATGTAGATTTAAAAAGTTTAAATCCTTCATTTGTAGCGATTTGATTGGGTCTTCTCTATTTGGTGGGATACAGACTTCTGATTGGTTAATTTTTAATGATTTATGTTACTTTTGTTACAATAGTAATAAATAATACTGATGGGTCTTTGTTAATGTTGATTTGTAAGAATTTCGATTAGTTTGATTCATTCGGAAGGCTGATAGGAGTGAGTTTGTGTGTATATGTGTTTCGCCTCTCAGTAGAACAAAACTTCTCATGCAGCATGCTATTACATGTTCACTGAATGTTTTTTGTCTTTCGCGGTACAGAAAATAGACAAAATAATGAAGAAAGAAAACTGCTACAAGGAAACAAGTGTTTTCGACTAGTTGGCGGGGCTGGTGGAGGTGAGAGGTTGGGAAAATAAGTTAGTGTTTCAAATTAACATCAAAGTATCCTGTATCCATTCATCTGGATGATACCATTAGGTGTATTTTTAAGAGACTGACTGTACTTATGTAAATGAGGCATAGGGTAGGAAAAATCTTGTTCAAAAATATTTTAAATAACAAGAATTAAATTGCTTTTTATTTTTATTTTTTGTGTAACTAGGAGAATAAGAAAGTATCCTTTGTTACTCTTTTGTTTAAAGTTAGACTAAGTGATATTCTTGATTGGAAAGGGAACTGTAACATTTCAACTAGAAATGAATAAAAATCCCTATAAATTAACTGCTGAAAATTAGTCTGACACGCGCTAGTGAGAAGTCGTGGACAGTGAGGTCAATTAAGTCAGGAATAGGAACACATACCCTCTACACAGGACTGGCTGGCGATCACGTAAAACTATCATTTGATAGAAGTTAGAATTCACAGACAATTATGCTGGATCCCATCGGCTGGATGGTCTATGGGCTCACTTTGTAACCGAAAGAACCTGAGTTTGAACCCTTCAGTGGATGATTACTAATGATGAATCACGAAATAGGACGAAACACCTGTCCAGTACTTTTTATTTATAACATTTCTTGGTCAAACTTGAGAGAAATCAAATCCCTACAGAGTAACTCCTGAGTAAAGAAAATCCCAATTCATCCTGAAAAATATCGAATGTGGAGAATGAGATTGTTGAGAAAAGGTTTACACGTGGCCCGCTTAAATCACTGTGGTCACTAACTTGCCTTCCATCAAAATTTAACCTATTTAATCTTTTGAATGTTCCCTTAATTATCCAATTATTATATCTGAATCACAGTTTATACTCGTGTTTATATTTAAATAGAGCTCACACCTACCTCTATGTATATTTCACAGGAAACAGAGAAAAAGCAAAGAATACTATTAAAGCATGCTTTGAATGGAACAGTGTTGCATCAGATGATGTGTGGGTCGGTGACACGGTGGTTAGGACGTGCGCCGACAATGCACACGGTCTGGGGCTCGATTCTCTGCCGATGCACACCTGATATTTTTTTATTTTTTTTTTTTTTATATTTTTGATTACAGCTTGATTCCACACCGTATTTTTGATACAAGTATGGAATTTTCAGCATGGATATCGGTAGCCCAAATTTCGCAGGCCAACTATTGATATCAGGTGTGCGTCGGCGTGGGCTCGAACCCCGGATCATGTGCATGGTCGGTGAGAGTCCTAACCACTGTGCCACCGACGCAGTGGTCAGTTTACTAAACTTGGACTACCGATATCACGTGCTGAATTTTCCATAACTGTACCGAAATATTGTGTGAAATCAAGCTGTAATGATACATAAATATATTATCGACTTCGCCTAGTGAACTAGCTCGTTGTTTTTCTATCCTGTGCCAAACCCGAATAAAGAGGCAACGTTGAGGGTGAGATTAACGACCCTACCTGAAAAAACCAACCAAAGTGATAGGTAAACTTCAACGCAAATGATAAATATTAAAAATTCAAAACAAATAATAAAAAAATTTATTCTTCACTGGAATCAGAGAGGCGAAACGACACAGGGGCTCGTAGTAGTCTTCTGAAAGCCAGTCAGCCAGCCGATGTGTCTTCTTCTTCTTCAATGAAAGCAAGAATAAGCATGGCAATGTGGAATGTTCATGAGATGTATAGGGCTGTAAAGACTGTCCAGGTAGCCAAAGAAATGAGGAGATATGGTGAAGAAGTGCTTGTTGTCTGCGAGATCAGATGGAATGGATGTAGACTAGCCAAAGTTTCAAGTGGTGAGTCAGTATTCTACTCCGGTTACCTAGACGGCGACCACGAACACACTGAGGTGGTGGTTGGCTACCATGATGTCACAAACAGTAGCCGCATCCCTAATGCAGGGGGAACCGGTCTCTCCCATATATATATATATATATATATATATATATAGCGAAGTAGCGGGATTTGAAATCAATGAACCAGTTGTTCGGGTGTTAGTAACTGAATAGTCTACGAGCTCAAAAGTACTGGAAAGTACTGGACGTGTAACCTAGTGGATGCTTCTGATAAAGAGCACCGAATTAGGGTGAAACAGCCATCCATTACTGCAGTACTTATTTTCTAACTGCTCTCATACTGATGTCAGCTTGTAGTCAAACTTGAAGCGAATCAAATCCACACTAACTAACACTCCTGAGAAATGAAGTACCTCTTAGCCTAACAGGTAAGTTTGTGCTATTGTATTTAAGCTACCGATATCCATGCTGAAAATTCCATACTTGTACCAAAAATACAATATGCAATCAAGCTGTAATCAAAAATAAAAATAAAATTTAATTTCTAATTCAGTATACAGTAGGCGACGAAAGACACTTCAGTGTATCTTGACTACAAGCAAAATATATCTGATCTCTTGTCTAGACTTGGCAAAGTTGGTTTGAATAATATCTCTTTATCAAGAGAATCTTGATTCTACTAACATTTCTTGTATAAATTTCGTCCTAATGAAAAGTATTAAACTTTTGCTTTCGCGGTTTTTGTCTTCTGGAACGAGAAATTTTTCTTCATTAAGTGATACTCACATTTTCGTGTAAATCCACAGATAAGAAGGGTTCATAGTGCGAAAAGTGAACATACACAATCCGGATATTGAAACACCTTTTACGCAACAGTAATGGAACATATGAAACTGCATATCAAGAAGAACGACTTAGCCAAGTGGTCCTTCGGAGTCTGAAAACAATGGGTGATGTTCCAGCGTTGGTTAACAGGAATTTGATTGTTTTCAGGATTTCATCATGAATTGATTTCGGTTAGTTGACGACTAGAAAACCTGTGAGTACTGGACAGCTCTTTGGTCCTAGTGATGACTATTTCTCAAAAACGACTATCATTACAATTATAAACGCTTGGAAGCAAGAATATAATTTACAGAGAAACAAAATACGAATGTGTTTAGAGGATATTTTAAAGTTCGATGTTTCAGAAGGAAGAGGGAAAGTAATTCATGAGTACGGATTACATAACAAATCGAGCAATTACTGTGTACAGCAATTTAGCGTGTAATCTGTACTCAATCGTTTCTCTTCTTCTTTTCAAAGTATCTTTAATATTCTGAATCTTTTCTTCTACGAACGATGTTTCCTGTTTCCAAGTAAGTACTGTTATAATGATATTCATATATGAAGGAAAAACTATATATGAACTTGAAATTCAAAAGATCCAATAGCTTCCGATAATATTAAAAGGAGAATCTCACAGTCTCCAAAAATAACATTCCATGGTACAGCTTCCAGAATGGCCTTTACCAGTCGACCATTAGTGCTAAATAACCTGAAGGTCAAGATCCCACAGCTGACCAACTCCGTGTGCGTTTATCAACTCACCTGCTCAAGTGAAGCTAGGTATATTGGTCGTTCGACTCGAGTTTTATCTACGAGGGTGCAAGAACACTGCACTGCATGGTTACGAAGAGGTGAGAGTGTAGTTATAAGAAGCGCAATCATTCAGTATCTGGCCGATAATGATCACCCCATCTCTACAGCCTACGCCTTTAAATTCATCTACAAGGCGGAAAGTAATTTACCCTAATCACTACTTATCCGATTCATTTGTATTTCTGAATCATTGATTATCGAAAGAGAAAAGCCAGATATCTGTGTACAGAAAATTTATGTTCAACTCCTCCAACTTTCATAGCCTTCATCCCTCTATGCTAAAGTATGATAGTTACTAATCACATTTTGTCTCTCTCTGTATTCTTTCGTTCTGGTTTTCAACTTTGTATACTCTTCTGTTATTACGTCAGCTGTTGTTACTACGATTCTCGCTTTGAGCTGTCACCGGTATTATTTCAATCGTTCCACTTGTCATTCCAAATCGATTTTGTTTCGCAACGTCAAAATATATTGTTATCGAATTCCATACAATGTTAAGTATTTTTTTTATCCGACTTGCCTATCTACTAATCCTATAATTTCACACCCCTTCCAAGTTCTATACATCCTATGAATTATTCTATATATGAAGTGAATTGTTTTGCCACTTGACATTTAACTATGATTGTAATCACAAACATTTTAGTTTTTAATTGCGTTTCATACTAATACTATTATTAATTTATGCATTCGCACACCTATGATTCGATACCCTCACCGAATATAACTTATTAAAACCACATGTATACGATTGTACAGCTTGATAATAAATTCGTTAAAAACGGTCTCTTCACTGAACCGTCACTTGTTTTGAATCCCTGTGTGTGTCCCAATGCGGATTTTCCATGGCTTGTTGTTTTGTCGTGGTAACATTTTCAAGCATATGAGTGATGAATTTAATATTTTGCTACCATAGGTTCATTAGTTATATGAGCTGTCCTCCTCTCCAACACACGATCTCCTCAGCATCATTTGGAATGAGTTTGACTTGTCTTCTGACAGATTATTTGT